TGAATGTGCGGATATGCGGATGTGTGTGAGTGTGTGTGTGTGCCGGCAAATAAACACATTTTCAAGCTCAATGCCATTTGGGCCAAAGGCGAAAGGCAGCAGTGGCAGCAGCAACTACAACGCAGAGCGTCGAGAACAAAGCCAAACAGAAACAGCAACAGAAGCCGGCACAGAAATAGAAATGGAAAAGAACTGGCCGATTCTAGGTGAACGAAGGATGAGTGCACCAGCTACTCCTGGCCATGCACTCGGAGAAATCGGGAATCGGAGGACAAATTTCTTTATAAATTGGCTTCTACATTTCGTACACCCTAAAGATACCTTTAATTTTAATAATTTTTTTTTTCCTGTTCGACAGTACTTAATTAAGCCATTAGTTTCGACATTTAAATTCTTTATACTTTTTGAAGAAGATTTTAAAATCGGGATTTAAAAAAACACATAAAAGCCTTTAAATCTTTTAATTTATAAAATATGTCAAAGTTAAATTCAAATTATAAAATTAAATTATTATTATTTAAAAATTAATTTAAGTTTAAAGTGGTTTTACATCATTATTAAATGTAAAAATTTTACTTTGGTGTTTTAATTTTTTTTTTCCCTACGGCTTTGTTAACTTAACAATTAAATCAATATTTTACAAGCCCGTTTATGTATTTTCGCACAGTGTAGAGAGGTTGCTGCTTTTGCTCATGTCTGCCAACGGGCATATAATGAAGTTTCGCAATCTCGCTGCAGTCGTGTGGGTGTGAGTGAGTTTTCCAGCGTCTGTGTGGGCGGATGGAACTGAGTTTCCACCGTCGAAAGTGTGTTTGTGTGGCTGGGCGAGGAGCTCAAGTGTGATTACATGGGCCATGTTCGCTGGCATCGAGTGTTTGTGGCATAATATTATTGTTTTTGTGCTCGCGTGTGAAATCAAACTCGATGCAAGGCAATGCGATGCATTGGCAAAAGGATTAAAAGGATACGCCAGGAATAGGAGCAGAGACATGGAGACGGGACGACAGGAGGACTGGGGGACAGGAGGACCAAGGACCAAAGGACAAGAGCAGTGCACGTGCATGACGTTCGAGGATTGTTCGACCTCCATCGTGGCACCCACTCTGAAACTTTCCCATTTCCCCTCACTTCAGTCGAGTTCATAGTTATCTGCAGTTCGATCCGACAGCTTGTAAGTGTAAACAGATACATAAAACCCTGGGTTATTAACGCCAAAACCAGATCGACTTTCGGAAAACGCTGCAGATATAAGATATACCGATTGCTCCGGATTTGGTACGATTTCTGTTTAAATTTGTTTGAAAGAGATTTTAGAAACACCCGAATATAATTACATTTTAATACTTTTTTCAATTAATGACACATATTTACAAATATTCTATTAATATTATTACTATTTTGGAAATATACTTAAACAAAAATAAAGAACATATATTTGCAAACTACCTGATCCCGACCTTGTTGATTAGATTACAATTACTACGGCAGTCTCTAAGTTTTTAATTGATAGTTATTTCATTGAGTAGGGTATATTTTCTCCTCTAGATCTCTTAATCTTCTAATCCCTCATCCTGGGGATAATTTAGAGCTCACACTTCCTGAAGGTGCTGCTCTGCCAACGAAACCTAAACCATAACGAGTCTCATCATCACTGCCGGTTGTCGGCAGCTTCCGTTCAGCTTCCCAAAGGGCGGACCCAGCCACAAGGATACATATATCCTTTCTGTGGAGGGGGGACAGCTCCTGCAGACTCACTCGATGGCATCTGTTTTCAGCAGTTGCCGCCACAACACCCTGGAACAATAACAAAAACAAAAACAATAACAACCGAAAGAGCAACAAGGCTAACATCAAGGAACCGTACTACAGTTATTTGACTTTTAACTTTTATTGCTTTATGTAGTTTAGATAAACGTTTGCGGCATGCCATAAATATGCAGCATGTTGGGCCACAGCGAAGAAAACAGAAAACAGCGCCAACACAACAGCCAGCAAAAACTGGGGAGTGCCGAAGGGATCCCGGTCAAAGGAAAAACATCTATGGTCAGAAAGGTAAAAACACCTCGATGGGAAATACCCTTTCATATAAAACTACAGATAAAATTGAACAAGCATACATGGTTTTGGTCTAAATCATATACCAAAACAAAACACCATAATAATAAGTTTAATGTATTTCAAAAAGATTTTAAAGAAACAAGTTTCTTTAATGGGATTTAAATTGTTTATTTTTTATTTTGAAATTAAAGGATATTTTGTATTTTTTTTCTAATCACAAATTGTTATGTTTTACAATGTCTTCTACTATAATATACTTACAAAAATGTAATCAAGGTACCGATTTTGGTAATCTAAGGTTTGACTTTAACTGAAGTAAAAGTACCCTTAAAAAAAGGGTAAAGACAACTCAACCGGAAAAAATATTGGTAAGTGGGATGTTGAAACCGAACTTGGTGCTTGTCTGCTGATGGCCTTCGATGATAGACAATCGGCAGACAGACAAATGGACAAATGGGGGGCAGACAGGGGCTAAACTATTTCTGATTTATGCTGTAAGTTACAATCAGCAACTTGCAACTGGGAACTTATGTACTTGCCACTTTTGCACTTGACTTTGTGGCCCGACATTGTCTTGCGGCAATTTGTCGGAGATCCCCAAACTCCTGCATCCCCATATGAGGGTTCAAGTTTATAGTTACTTTCTTTTTTCCCTCGAAACTTTAAGCAGCGAAAGTTTTAATTAATTTCACACGCCCGAACTTAACTTGCGCATCTAATTACACGAGCAAGGTGTAAATAAGTGGGAGGTTTTGGTGGGTGTAGGGTTGACTGGTCGGGGGATAATGTGTCTGTGGCCAACCATCATTATCGCGAGTATCATAAAATGCTGAAAGCAAAAGGCAAACAAACAGCAGCTGCAGCCACAAAGTATTCAACACGTTCTCTCATACGATAAAACTGGGTTTGCGGTGGTAAATTGTCGTGGGGGGTTAGGAGGCGGAATTATCCAGCAAAAAGCAAACAGATATCGGTATTACATTTAATGCGGGCCTGAAATTACCAAGCTTAAACATTACAAGATTTTATCCAAATCTGATTACAGCATTTGTATTTGAATTTTTTTATCAATGACATTTTTTTGTTTGCTAATTTACTTCATATTATTTTATTTTTTAAAAAGATTTCCCTGCCCTTAATAAAATTATAATTTACAATTAATTCTGTTGTGATTTTTTTTTTATTATAAATATTCTTTATGATAAGCTTAAAGTAAGTCCTAAGATCTACTATTTCATGCGTTTTCTAAGTTTATTTTTATACTTCCACGATAAGTTTTTTCATCGTTTTAGTATTTTTTCTAAGATTTTCTTATGTCCTTCGACCTAAAATATATTAAATTTAACCCTTTTACTAATCATTTCAATCTAAAAAGTTTCTATCATGAATTCATTGTCATTACAGTCGCATTACAATCACCATCTTTATTAAATTGCTTGCGAATGTCCTGTGTTATATATGCATTTGAAAATCCGCTTAAATGGCAACCGAAACTAAACGAACTAAACCAAACCACGTACACCTCAAATCTACAAAGGCTTTCCCTCTCCTTTGATTCTGAAACACCTCCGACATAGAGTCAAACACCTGCGAAATTGAATGAGAAATATCCATTCCGTGTGCGTTGGCTGTATTTTCCTGTTTTGGGTGCCAGTGAGTTGTTACGTTTTACTCCCCAACTCCACGATTGTTTTCGAACCCCAAACATAGTTGGCAAAAACAATTTTATTTCAACGAAAGAATTTTAAGCAATACAAAAGGATTTTCAATGCATGAACTGCAACTTGATTCCTTTATTTTTGCCTTTTTAAAAAGTTTCAATTCGGTTGGCTTCGTAGGAAATATTTTTACTCACCTTTAAGTTATTTAAAATCCCAGAAGAAAATATATGGCAGTCTATCATTTCATATCCGTTTTTTATGGTATGAATTGGCAATGAATTACTATAATTTATTTCAACGCTTTCTTTAATTTTTTTCGGCATTTTTATAAAAAACAGAAAAAATCACATGCACTTTTCTGCGGTGAAATTTTAAATTAAAAGCAAACTTTACTCATAAGTCTGGAGGAGTAGGAAGTGCTGCATATGAGATGTTGTTGTGATTTCGCATATATCTATTTTTGTGCTGGTTGTTTTTGGTTTTTACTCCATCATAAAGCATCAAATGTCAGGAGCAGTCAACAACAACGCACAATTTCAAAGTTTGAATTGAGTTGCGTCTGGACGCCGCGTTCCACTTGGAGTTGTATGTATGTATATATATTTATATGTTTGTCTACCAGTTTTTTTCTGCTATAGTCCCCAGTTTCTGTAAACCCCTGGGATCGTCATCAGCGGAATGAGACGAAGAAAACAATAATGAGATGGGAATTTAGCGCCCTTACATGATTCATTCAAGCTCTCTCTCTTATCTTCAAACTTAAGCATGTGGAGAATTAATATAGAACAAATAAATGCACCAGAAAATCAAAGTGCCCTTACATTAAATACGTTTATTTTATAATTTTCGGAGACGAATTTATCTTATTTAGCTTAAGGGTGTGACCTTAAGAAAAAATGTGTTATATTAATATATCTTGTTTATATTTATTAATTATTAGTGTTTATAAATAAGATAATGATGTGCTACAACAAAAAAAAGAAACATTTGTTTTTACACAAAAAAAATCACACAGAAAACATTTAAAAATACAAATACAAAAAAGTTAAATAAATAAATATAAAATATATATAGATATATTAATTTTGAATGCTTTTCACATGTCCTAATTTAAATATTAATATTTAATTTTTGCAAAGCTTTAATAATTCTAATATTTCATATGACAAAGTTTTTAAAAATGTTTTTTCTTAGTGCAATTGAGATAAACAAATCGCCGTTTGAGCGCGAAATACATACATTTTTTGGCTCCTATTTAGTTTTATTTCTCCGCTCGTGCATTGAGCGTCGTTTACGACATGGACTGGTCAGATCTTTTCGAACTAGTAAAGAACTCAGAAATCAATCTCTTCCTGCTGATACCCTTTGGAGTTGCGATTTCGATGGCGTTCGTGTGCTTTTGTTATCACTGTCATCAGTGTACTCGCGATCGTCGAATAGCTCGGTACGAAGAGCAGAAACTTCTTTTGGATCTCCCTTTGAGTCGGTTGTCGATCACTCCCGGATGCTCGATAGTTGCCAGCACTAAACTAACCCACAGCCGAAATAGCGCGGACAACTATTAAAATTTAATTGTTTTACAAGGTGATTGAAATACATTTTTCTGAAAATATTTCTTAAATTCTGCAAAGCAGATAAAGCGATTAAGTGATAAACTAAAGTAGAATTTCTTTACATTTTAGGCAGTGCTTTACGATGACTGATAGCCAAATTCATTTGTCCTACTTTATCTGCGGACCGGTCTTTATACTAATGGTATTTATATATTTTTACTACTGGTATCTAAATGTCCGCGAGTGTCGAAGATCCCGGGGGCGTGAGCTGCCGCCTTCTTCACTTGACGATATCTCTGAGGAACGACTGGAAGTCTATTGACAAAGCGCTTGGATTCGAGTTAATGTGAATCACTGCACAGTGGAAAATAATAACATGATAGCTTTATTTAAGCATTTAAAAATTACGGGTACAAAAAACATTGTTAATAGTTATTGTATTTTTAAAAAGTGTTCTGTTATCACCTTAAAATAAATATAAAGAAAATTCCGGATAAATTTAGCATTAGAAAACGTCACGTAAAGATTTATTATCTTTGATTTAAATGTGGATTCTGTGCATGGAATTCATTTTTATTGCTTTTTATTATTCCTAATCTTTAACAAAGGGTGATAAATTATTTAAAATTAGGATGTTATAAGTAAAAATCAAAATATTTGGTAAGTAAATTTATACATATGCATTTTAATTAAATAAATAAAATAAATATAAAAAAATCTTAAACATAAAACTGTATTATTTATTATTTATTTCATTTTTACGTCTTTTTTAATATTTTATTGACGCAAAAGTTGAAGAACAAATACAAATAGTATTGAATGTGATAGTGACTAGTCAGTGGATTAATGTCGCCTTGTTTACAAAATCTGTTATGAATCATTTATTCTGTATCTCCAATACGAGTAATTTTATTTGTCTCCATTTGTATCGCTTCCATAAAATAGGTTGGATGTTATGTAGCCCAGGGCCCAGTAGTAAAATCTTTGATGAGCTCATGCAAGTACGAAGTACCTTTAAGGTGAAAACGTGATGTCGGTGGGTGTATGTTTGGCTAAGAATATCCAGGTGGTGTTGTTGGTTGCTTACGACGGGTCATAAATTTAGCCAAAAACTTGGCTATGCATCTTCGCTGACGTTTCCTTTCACGACCTGCAAAATTTAGAGCTGCACGGCGGTTTTGATGGCCCTCAATGGCAGCATGAGATGTGGTAATAAATGACGTTTTCATTCGCATCCCGGCAACGAACTTGTCCCAGGTAATAAGGAAAATTAAATTAACTGAAAGTATAAAAGGATGTAAAAGCGAAAATAGAATATTTAGACTTTGTCATCTCAATTTATAAAAAATATTAAAAATTATTTTTAGCTATGTATAAACATAAAACAAAGAAATATGTTTATATTGTTGAGCTTGCGAATTTCATAGAGATGTAGATGACGAAGAGTTGTGGATATTGTTTACTCAGCAATTGACTGTAATATTTATACATTGTAGCTTCCTTCATTCGGTTGTCTTTGCTCTTAATTGTACTTATCCATTTCAGTTCTTTGAAATTGTTCCCCACTGACATTTCTTTGAATTAGCCTTAACTCAAGCTAAAATGAATTAGCCTAATCATTTTCCAAAAACTTATTTGGCACAAATTCCCCCAAAATGGACGAACTGAATGCAAATCCAATTGAATTAGTCAACTTTATTTGCTCAACATTTTGGGTAAGTTTTAAGCAATAGATAGATAGATAGTCGTGCATATATATTCTTTATTATGGGACCCATTCGGCTGCTGTCTCCCTTCTAGCCAAATTGAAACGCTAAAATAATTTACGGCTCAACTGACCAGCTTCGGCTGCTCCTTCGGATCCTGCAGCAGTGTCCTGCCATCTCCTTGATGGCTGGCACGTTAAATGCCATCGAAATGCTCCCAGTTGGAAAATTAGTTTAAAAATACGTTCGTTCGGCAAAGGATGCCTCGGATCCTGTGGCTTCTTCTCATCTTTATACACTATCTGAGAAGGTATTATAAACTTTTTTATAAAATCAAAATAGAATCGTTGAAAACCCGAAAAGTAATTATTATTAATTTATCAAATTTTATTGCATATAAAATGAAGATAATTATTTTTTGCAGTTTAATTTAATTTTTTTTCAATAATAGGTAATATTTGTCAAGCTATTAAGTATGAATTTGTATAGTAGTTAATACTAACACAGAAAGGGTATTTCAAATGTCTCATATCCTGTTAGTCCTTTCTATATTTTTCTTGTGCAGCAGCACGCGACTTGCGTTCATGGTGGCGTAAAAATTCACTTAGTTCAACTTCTCGCCCACCCCTTTTATTTTAGCCAAGTTAACCGGAGGAAAAGCGACAAAAAAAGAAAACGAGGACTAAGAAAATTCGGAAGACTGTTGCCCAATAAAATGCTCATGTTTTACAATTTTATTAGGTGACGCGAGCTCATCAAATATTTAAATAAAACGATACATTTGGCGCTCCTTTTTCATTGTTCGCCTTCGTTTAAGTAATTGCGTTTTAGTGGACACATGTTTTACATTGAGAAATATTTAAAGGGGGGCGAGGGTCCTTAAATCATTTCCTGTTTATCTGGCGACCATAAATTAAGGCATTAGCCGTGGTCCTTCCTTCGAATTGCATCGAACTGTTTGCATTTCGACCGTGGCACTTGGCCATGCAGCTGCTGCCGCCAAATGTGGGATTTACACTGCGGCCGGGGTTAACCGCAATCGAAGTCGTCTCCTTAAAGAGATAAAGGCCCCCTCCAATTATCCTCCTCAATCATGATCATTAATTGCCCAGAAGAAGTGTGCGTCTACCCAAAGTTTAGGCGGGAATTCGTACATTTTAAAGCCAGCTAAAATAAAACAGAAAGTATTTTGCAAAGGTTGTACACTTTAACATTTTGTATAATATTAAAAAAATATTTAAAATAAATCATTTCAAATTGTATAACAAAAAAAAAAGTTTGAAAAATATACAATGTATTTGGAGATAAAAGCTTAGCTTAGGCATTTCGAATTGAGAAAAATCCTAATGGAAAATATATTTTAATTAAACATAAATTTCTCCCGGTGTTTCCTCACTTTTTTTGTTCTCAGTGCACTTTTATTGGCATTGTTTGATTTAGTCGCCGAACGAAGCACTTTGGCACTTGGAACTTTTGAGTATTGGGCCAATTGACGAGGCGGCGGATGGAGATACTCCTCGGGAAAATGTTTTGGCTGGCCAAAGAAACGCTTCTCGTCCTGAAAACCACCACCTTCCCCTTACCACCCCGAAACGCCTTGCCGCACTTTGTTTGCTAATGAGCCAATTTAGTTGCATTGAACGCAATTGCATAGGCTGCGTGCGAGTGTGTGTGTTTGTGTCTTTGAGAGTGTGTGCCTTTGGTCTGGGCAGCGATACTTGAAACTTGGCCAATACGTTTGGCCCAAATGCCGCTTCGAGGCTGAAGCTGAGGTGCCTTGCTTTGAAATGTTAAGTAGGTATGCGTTCATCAGGAAATGGCTGCTTTAAATGTGGCTAAAAGAACATTCTTGGGTAAAAGGTGTTACAAAAGTAGGCTTTAAATATTAAAGTGTACAAAAAGTGAATAATAATTGAGTACTTTTATAGTGCATTCACAACTAGAAGAAATCATAAAATAAAACCGGGTTTTTATTGTTATTTTTAACAGGTTTTTTTTTTTTTTAAGTAAAAAAGTTCAAAGTTAGAACCTCTTATGCATAATCCTCATCAGGTATTTCCGGCAGGCGTCCATCGAATGGCGATTCAGGTAACATATCTGGCTAAAATACTTGCCGCACTGTCCACACTGATGTTGCCACTCGTGATGGCCCATTGTGCGCTGATGTGAACGTAGATTGGAACTGAGAATAGCAACGGTTAATAAATATTAACTTTAAAAGGTAGACAAGAAATGACTATAATTCTAACTTTAAATTATAGAGTCCAATCAGTTTCTATGGCTAAAAACTAATTTTCTTAAATAAGAAAAATGTAAACTAAGAATTAAATTTTTTTCAACAAAACAAATATAAATAAACCAATAAAAAAATTAGTAATGAAGTAAGATAAAATAATTGAATTTTTTCTATACTATAACGTTGTATCCAGATTTTTTAAAGAAATAATTAATAAATTTCTATTGAGCAATAATAAATCTTGGCTGTCTTGTTTGAAATTTTTTTTTAACAGAGGAAATAATATTAAATATACCCACCGATCGGCGAAGGGCTTCTGGCAACTTTTTTCCGGGCACGCGAAGGGTCTTTCACCGGTGTGGGTCCTCATGTGGGCGACTAGCATCCAGGTGTGATCGAATTTCTTCGCACAATGGCTGCATTCGAATTGCTCACCCTGCCGCTTGAAATGCCTTTTTTCCGGCTGTTTTCTAGGTTGGGTTGGTGGTGGTTGCACAATATCTGGTGGTTCCGAGGCTATGGCCAAAAATGTCCTTTTTCGAATTAATTTAGAGCGAGCCTTTGTGGGTTCGGCTAGGACCGTAATGATGCCTACTTTAATATCTTTTTTTGTTTTGGGCATTTGTTCTAGACTTTGACCAGGCATTTTCAGTTCCCAGATAATATGACTGACCAAGAAGCTTTCGGAAATCGGTTGAGTACTCATCAATTGGATGCCAAATCGCTCTTCCATTTCCCGTCTGTCTACAATTGATATATCATCGCCACAACGCCAGTCGCTGCTGGGTTCCCTACTACCATAAAGATAGGTTAACTTTGGGTTGGTTTTAGGCTCGGATCTTGTGTTAGTCCTGATATTATTAGTGGTTTTTGGTCTGGGCATCGGTGGCATGTTAGGAATGGCTTGAAAAAATGCTGCGAAATGTTAAGATGTTAATATTAAAATGTTTTATTACTTAGATATTTTACCTTCGTAACGTTTGTAAAACCGTTCTTGTTTGCCATTATAGCGATCCGATAAAAAGCTGCGAAAAATGTTAGGCATTATTGCTAAATACACCTCACAACCGAGCGCCGTTGAAATTCCTTGATTTTACAGGCTCTGAAAAGTCAGTCAGCTATAGACCAGCCTGCTCTGATTTCAATCGATGGTGCCTACTCGATTGGAAATTACACTTTAAGTCTTGGATTTAAGGAGGCATTAACATTGGCACTGGGAACATTTAGTTAGTGCAAATATTTTAGAGAAAAAATTCTTGCATGGGATATTATATTTATAAAACCAAATGGTTTAGAATGGAAATGGTATACAAATTCCATCTCATTGCCCTACATTTTCCAATCAAGGAATCAATAAACTGTAAGGTTTAAAACCAAGTTATTGTCCTTAATAAATAATTAATAAATTATTTTGAAAATGTATCAAAAATATAATTAAAGAGTGTTTTAAATTAATAAAAATGTTTTTATAAGATTGAATACTTCTATAATTCACCTTTGGATGTTGAAAGTTTATACGTTTACGTTAAGTGTGAAACATTCAAGCCACATTCTATTTCTGAGTGTAGTTCAGCTTAAATTTCTATCTAAGAAGATGTTAATCCAGTGGTATTGACCACCGTACACGAAGTAAGCAGGCAGCTTTAAAAGACCTGGCCATCAGTCAATGCCTTTCTTCATCGGGAAATTCAAGACGGAGCACTTAAACAATTTTCTTGTTAAAATTTTTGCACACGAATCCGGGACGGAACTCCTCTTCAACAAAAAAGAGAGAGAGAGAGGTAAAGAGGGCGTGAAAGAGAGGAGGCTAGTAGCCGGGCAATAAACAAGGCACGAATGTGTTGAGCAATAAAATTAGTTGGCTTGGCTGTGAACGTTTCTGTGAGTGTGTGTTTGCTTAAGACATGCAAAGACGTTTTGCAATTTGCCTGTAATCCTGTTGTGCAAAAAGCACCCGAAACCACCCACACAGCCTTGGACTCGCTTTAAGGACTATTCCGTTTGCAGCTCCTTCAGTAAGCACTTAAGTCCCTCCTCTATTGTGCGGGAACTTTTCAATTGTTCGACAGTTCGCTGCGTTTATTTATTTGCATTTTTTATTTGCCGTTTTTGAGTGTGTTTTGTAATAAAAGCCGGAAGAGAAAACATTTATGGCACCCCCATCCAAAAGCCGCCTTTTCCCCCTTCCAATTCCGATTTCGACAACGACTTATTCCAACAGCTTTATTGCATTTATTTGGCACTTTATTACCGCCAGCTCGTTGTTCGGCTGTTAAATGGCCAAAAAGACCACAAAATATTGGGCCAGCAATTTACTTGGGTCATTTCGAAGTGCTTCAATCTCGACGACAGTGCGTTTCACGGCTGCAGACTAATTAAATAAATTCTGTTAATTAAATTAAGATATTTTCATGAGAAATAGTAAAGTGATGTTATATAAAAACAAATTTTTATCGATATTTTAATATGATTAAAGTTGTATTTTGTTGATAGACAGATAAATATTTAGTTAAAATACAAATTATTTATATTTTTAGTCAAATCCTCATATAAGTGTTCCTTTTTATAGCAATTTTCTCCACAAGTCCTCGTTGCTTATGAAACGCACTGCATCAATCATCAGCAACAATAAGGGAGACAACAATCAAAGGAAAATTGTTTCCAGCTGAACATTAATTCGTTTCGACAACAGCAAATTTGCTGTTCATTTCTCTGTCTCCATAAATAGTTCATATCTGTGGACCAAACAAATGACATTTTTCATAAACTTATATTTGCAGTGGCAAATGTGTTTCGGGGTGGGTGTTTTGGGCGTTGGGTGTTATGTATCTTCGTGTTTTGCTCCAACGACAAAATCGCATAAATGCTTTCGACTGCCAAACAAAAGACTGGCATAAAGCAGGACTCCAATGCCATTGAAAAGGAGTTGTTGCTACTCCTCTCTGTTTATTTGTGTATGTCAGTCGGACTATTAAAAATCTATTTCAAGTACTCACACAAGCATCGAAATTGCGTTTGTCTGCCGAGCTCTTTATGGCAGTTGGATAGCATTTTATTGCATTCTCTTGGACAGCCACTAAAGCTAGTAATACCCCCGTACTAGTGTACTAGTGACTCTAGTCGACTGTCGAATTAAATATGCACGTACGACAAATGAGATTTCCGTTTTTTTCTCCACTCCTGCTTTATTATCCAAGCCTCTGCGAATTTTTAATTTACTTCTGTTGTCAGTTGAGAGTTGTCAACAATGCTTCGCCAATTAGAACCCAACTTGTAACCTAATTATGTTATTAAGAACTGCGCTTAGTAGACGCATATTTTTGTAGCATTTGTATAAGTTATTCTTTCTGAAACATACAAACACTTTTATACCCGTTACTAGTGGAGTAAAAAGGTAAATTGTATTTTGACCCTAAAAATTGCAGCGCAGGTTCGCTTGCAAATACTGAATTTTCCGCAAGATGGCGCCACTTTCAAGCGACTGCATGATTTGCTGCTTGCAAAATTCTTGTTTATACATTGTTTTATACTTTACATCTTTCATAATTACACATTGGGATTAAACATTTTTTTTGTTAACTCAAATGCTCTTTAAATTTAGTTTAGGCCCTTTGGAGACAATATTGGTCTCTATCATATTTATTAGCTCTGCAACTCTGCTTGTGCTTTAGTGTCGCAGCCACGTCGCAATCATCAATATTAGAATTGCTTCTTTAACTTTAATCCAAGGCACGTAAAAGTGTCTTGCCAGCTACTTTTATTGGTGGTATCCCAGAAGGCCGACGAAGGCTGAGATTGCATTGCAAATTTTGTCATCAACATATAAATGAAGCGTCATGGCTGGCTGTCAATCCTCAAATTCCGGAAAAGCCGAAAAACGAGTCACGGCAGGATTTGGGCTCCTTTGTGTAAGGACACGAATCAAACGAATCACATTTTGCAATTTTGACCAATTTAAAATGTAATTATTTTTGTTTTGCCTCTTTGCTGGCACCCGGATAAGAATATGGATTTCGTTGCCATTTGCATTTCGCATTTGCCACCGAGTTTTTCCTTGAGAAAAGCTGTCATAAATAAATGCTGTGGTGAATTTACAAAAAACATTTCTGTCATCATCTAATATGCAACAAATCCTGAGCAAATAAAAATTCATAATTTAATCAAATACTCGTTTTTCAAGCTGCGACAATCGCCTTCAGGCATTTGGCAATTAAATTTGCATGCCGCAAAGTGTGTGATTCTGTGTGTGTGCTGCCTAAAAAAGTGTCAAATCCCGTTCTACTTGTCCAGTTATTTACTAAGGAAAAACACAATTGTTTGTAGCATTTGCGGTGTGACCAATGCCACAGCACCATCTATTTCGGCATTTCCATCCTTCCCATTTTATTCTATTCCCTGGCCCACCTAAGGCTACAGCATAAACAAACTGCGACATGGGCAAATAGGACTTTATTTCCGTGTGTTTGGGAAAATTTGTTAATTTGTTCAAAAGTTTGCATTGCATTTGGCCAGTCCGGTGGACTACGTGTCCGGCATAACAATGGAAAAAGAATGAATTGTGGGAAATGGGATGGAGGTTTTTGGGTTTTGAAAATTTGGGGAACCTGTTGGAATTGTCGTCAGTCTAACGATTCTGAAATTGCCCCTGATGAGCCTAAAAATGGGCATACAGTTGGCAGCTATTAGTATATTTCAAAACATTATAACATATTCTAAGTAATATCAAAAAAATAATTTGCTTTTCCAATAATATCTATAATACGCATAATATGAAATAGAATCAAACTCACTTAAAATCATTAGAAATCACATAAAAAGGTGTCTAAAAGTATGCAACAATGAATTTCTAATCCTGTAGTCCTGTGATTTAATCAGAATCATATATTTTCTAATCCCCACATATTTTGTAAAAGCTTCTTAAAAAGTTAGATTAAAATTTAGAATACCCATGAAAAATTACATCCTAAGAGCTTTCATTTCCAAAAGTACGCCATCAACCTTAATAAGTGACCACTGTAAATCCATTGAAATTGATTAGAGGATCCGGACCATGCCAACGTCTGCCCACAGATGCTTCGTGTTTGTTTAGTTTATAAATTAAATTTAAGCTGCAAACAAGCAAATTTGCCAAACACGTATCTCATTTATGGGTCTATTACTTGGCCAGAAGTGTGGCCAAGTGTCGAGGCGGCAAATTTGTGGAACGGAACTGTGCCCATAAATAAAATATGGTATTCGAGCAACGAAACTGGACTCGCTATCTCTGCGGTTAGTCCATAAAATGGCCAGTTCGTCCGGAGTTCGTAGATTTTTGCCAGCCATTGTCACATGACAAATGCTTGTTGCTTCTGTTCTGTTGCGAAACCGAAACTCCTTTTTGCAATTGTTATTATTGTTGGCATTGTACTTTCGGCTATTCAACGATCCATTTGTATGCTGGCCATGTTTGTTGGCCATGGCGATAAGTCATAGCTGGCACGTTCCAAATTTATTTGTTCAAGTTTGTTTGCTTAGCTCGTCGGCACCAGCTGCGAGGACCTGTGGCCAAGGATATATGCCCCGAGTGCCCCGGGCAATTGCATTAATCGCTTGATAATTTACACAGCAATAATAATGTTTACCAATGGCAAATAAATATATTTATTGAATTAACCAGAAAAACTGGCACACAAGGCACCACTTATCGCTGGCAAAATTTATGTTTTACAAATTGCTGCGAAAAAAATACGTAAATTGCGTTGATTTCACTGACCAACAAGAGATGTCTGCAAATATGAATTAATTGAGATCTTATCTTAGGAATTATGTTATGATTTGTGCGTCCTTTTAATTATAATAATTCAATGGAGGACATTTATTTATTATTGGGATAATTTTGGGATTACACTGTATAAAAATGTAATTGCCCACGATAATAAAAACTGTTCCTTACAACTTAATAAACAAAAAAACACAACTTCATCTATTGCTTAAAATAATTACAATCCCAAAATTGATAATAATTAAATAAAAGTATATAAGCTGTGTTAGAATTTAAATTTATTT